AGATTCAGGAAATTAATAAATTGCAGGAATTACATGGAAATGCAGTTTATGCTTTGAAATCAATTAGCATCTGCAATATTTTAGTCTCATGTTTATTTATTGTGGATAAATTCAAACTGGTATAAAAATGATTACTGAATGTTTATGAAAATTCAGAATTAACATGAACCTAATTGCAGACATCCCTAAACATTAAAATGTATATTTAACATGTTAAAATTCTACGGTCAGCTCATTCAAAGTAAATAAATTTAAATCCAATGTAATGTCAAGAGAAAAATGATAATGAACGAGGATCCACACTTCCTTATTCCATATTTTGTACAATTTTATGTCTGAGTTCTAAATTGCCATTTACTTAAATGTTTATATAGGTCAATAAATACTAATGAATAAATGTTTACTTTAATGTACAATAATTGAATATTTTTGTATCTATTCCATTAAAAGACTTCTAGTCTCGTGCGTCGGTTGATAATTCAAATGTACTTATTTGAATTACTGATTTCGCGAACCATCTCCATGCAGAATCTGATGATATTTATAGTTCAACATAATTTCAAGTAATTTGTATTTTATTGAAATTACGCAGACAAATTAAAAGCTACACGCACGTACTGACCACTTACACATAAGTACTTTATTTAAACCTCACCGACTTTTCATCATTAAATTCTTTCATTCTCTCAACTCTCCGAAACGATTCAGTCCATTCAGAATAATTTCTAATTACACGTTTATCTACAAGAAAACCCAGGTGCATGTAGTAACAGTAGTTATTGTACAAGCCGAGCGAAGTTTCTAGTCGATTGCAACACAATTTAATTAAAGTAAAATTTGTGTTGTTTGAGCATCGCAAGCATTCGGCGCGGTTTTGTAAATTCGTTTTTAGTGTTTATTTTTGGAACGTGCGCTCGCTTCTGGGATGAGGCTTGAGGTGAAAATGCGAAGCGCATCGGCGGCGCATCAATCATTCGACAATTACACCTAAACGAAATTGCCGAAGTTTATTATTGCCTATGAGCAATGAGGCAGTCGAAGAAAAAAACGGTATCACCTACAATCTACACATGTAGAAACAAACTTGAGCTACATGGAGGTCAATTTTTTGTAATCTAAGACTAATAGACTGTAAATTGCATTTTTTTTAGTTTTAAAAATTTATTTTTAATTGTTCGCATTAGATTAAAAAAATTTGGTATTTTTTTATAATTCAATATAAATTTAATATATAATATTGTATAAAGTTTAATCAAATTTAATTAATTTTTGACTTTTTTTTCTGTTTTTCACATTTTGCACTTTGCAACGTTTCGCAGTATCAATACATAAAACTCTTTCGATACACAGTAAAGCAATAACAAAATTGCGCAGCCGCAATTCATTCCCAAAGCGCGTTTTCCAACCAGTCGGCGTTCTAAGCAACTTTATTCGTCGTCAGCGTCGCCGTGTGCGCAGGTAATTAGCAGAAACAACTTGTTTGCGCGCCGCGGATTCGAGCCTTCGGCATCGGCGACGAACGCTCGCGGCGACGCCTTGCGTTTACGAATTCTCTGCACTCGCGGCAGGAACGTACGCTCGCCGATGTGGCGGTGACTTATTAGCGAGCCGCGAACGGTGCGCAACGCGCTCTCGCCCGCCGAAGCAAGAAGCGCGCGCGGCGCTGGCAACACGAAACAGGTGTAGTTATGAGTTATGATTATGATGTTTTCTAAGCCGCCGTTACACGCCTCATTCTTCGTGCGCGCTGCTCGCTATTGGCTGCACACTTTTACACACCTCCAAGGTATATCGCACCGCGAGCGACTCGCTGTGGCTTGCATGGTAGTCTCCTGCAGAGTGCGCCGTAAATTTCGGGTGATTTACCTCTGCTTACCTGTCGCCCGGCTACCAGTGCGACCAAACCCACCACTGCCCAGCGAGCAAACATGCTGAAATATCTAATTTGATTTGCGGAAATCTCCAATTTAATTCAGTCTTGGTAAATATTAACTTGTATTAATTAATTAATTAATTAATTAATTAACAAAGTCACATTTAAATCATTAAAATTTACCTAAAAAAATATTAATTTTTTTGTTGATTTTGACCTAACACGATGATTTTATTAAGATAAAAACAGTTCATAAGTAAATGATGAACGGTTAATAAATAAATCAAATTGTACAAGCTTCTTTTTATCACCACACACAAAGTTTGTTTTCTCTAATTTCAAATATTGCCCCCGAGTGTTTGCTGTACTTTTTGCACGAGTTCTTGGTGCTCATTTGTGTAAGAGTACACCTATACCAGTAATAAGTAGTGAATCAAAACTTGTCAGCATCGACGTAATAAATGATGAAACTAAACGTACGGCTGGTAATAAGCGTAATGCACCCAACTAGAGAACCACCTCGGTCATATTTTCTTATGGTCACTACTACCATCACTATATTGCACTTGTACATTTTCTATACTGCATGTTTCTACAAATTATGCAAATTCCCCAAATGTATCACTTTTACAACTTTGGAAATTATTTAATAAAATTTAGATTAAATTTATATCCATTTGTTATATATTTTAAGCATATTTGAGTTTATCATTTGACTTAAGTTTAATGTATAAATTGAAGCAAGCGACGGTATATTAGATATGTATAGATAAAATACGGATGTTCTTGGTAAACTCGCCACGTCCATATCTACAAGTCGATAATCTTTTATGTCTATGATCTTACGCGATTAACGAGTACGACCTCACCGAGAGCTCAGTCGTCTTAAGCGAATGTTGAACAGCGTCGAGGACTCGCGCATCCAACTAGGAGTTGGTGCAAAGGTCGCACCCGACTGTGCAAATACACATCGAAATCACGGCAAGTGAATAGAAGCGAAATGGTGTTGTTTATGATGAAATAGACAATATATCCTGCGTGATAGCTACGTGTATAACACAAGAGCCATTAAAGTTTATAATTCAAATTGGGTATTTTTACAAACAATTTACATTCTTTCACACTTAAAGTTCCTTGATTGATAATTCAAATATCCTACTGTTACTAAGTGTTTAATAATAAATTTTACATCAATTGCAATTTACGTGTAAATAAATGCGTTAATCTTGAATAAAAGAATTAATTAGTCCGAGATAGGTGATGCTATGCTTCGACTGTGATGTTCCCAGGGAAATTACATGCCAAGGAAGCGGCTTGCAAGTGTGTGGCAGAGCCGCCGAGGAAAACGCGCTATTACGGATTAGATATTTTATAAATTTCACAATTTATGTGACGCTGGTCGATCGCGGACGGCTTGAAAAATTGTATGAACACCTGCAAATTCGAGTGCACGCATAAATAACCATGATTTTCTTTATAGTTCACTGACAAATTTAATGAACAGAATCTAGGTATGTAATTATAACGACCAATGCAAGTCAATCCCAAATTTTACAAATTATTTCGTAATTAAAAAATTGGATGAAATGAAATTTTGTTTGTAATTTTCAATTAAAGGTATTACCAATGAAGATACAAAAACAGATCTATTTATTTTTAACTTATAGTAAAAAATGACAAATTTCTTGAATAAAAAAATTAAAGGTGCAACTTCAGGTATAATTAAATGATTATTAAAGGGAAATAATGCACCTAAATACTTACATTTAAGTGCAAATTTTTCTAACAAGTGTTTAAACGTTATAGTATTATTATTAGACACTAATTCGACAATTTTCAAATATTCTTTAAAATATTTTAATATTTTTACTATAGTAAATACATTTTATTCTTCAGTCCTGTTCATGCAAATCTATCTCCATAAAATCATATTAATTGTCATCTAATAAAATTCCCAAAATGATAAATATTATTAAATTAAATTATTATCCAATATATAATTTCTACTTGTCTCAAATGCGAGAAAAAGTGCTAACCGCGGTGTGAATGATGAATTGTTGTGAACCAACTTGAATATTGTGCTTCATTGTTAAAAGAATAATGATATAACCGAATGAAAATGAAAATTCCTCACACACATTTTGTGCCTATTATGCTGGCATTAGTGTCCTGGGAAAATTTAGCCATGGCCTTGAATTGTATTCACTTGATTAGATGACGGCGTCGGCTGACTGTGTTTTTATGTTGTGGCGATGCGATGATGATGTTTGAGATACAATTGTGGGGAATAAATAATGTCTGAAGACGCGTTGGTTGTTTATGCGCATAATTTCTGGAATAGCACAATATTTATTGTGAGCCACGTTATTTTTCTTCAGCCTCGGCAGCGGATGCATCTGTTTAATTTGTTTGAATAATGTGTTTGTTTTATTATTCACGGCTTGACCTATTGACGTAGATACATTACATACTCATTTAATTATCACCTAATGATGTACACAGCAATTAAACTATAAAATATGTGTTCAACATAATAATTTGATTTTCTTCATGATATTTGAAGATAAATTTAATTAATAAATATCTAAGTTAGTAAATAAAAAAGTTTATAAATATTTTTACGTTAAAAAAATTGCAGTCTAATTAATTAATTTTAACCCTTCAAATTTGATATTAATCGTCACGCTCCAACCGTCAAGTCAACTTCCGTTCATTTACCCTCTTGTCCTACCAAGGAGCAACAAGTGTCGAGTAAGACTTGTTGCTCGAAGCATATGTTAAACAGTATTTATATTTATTTTATTGTATTATTTTTTTAGTTTAAGTTTTTGCTTACTTTGAAGAAAATGCGGTACCTAAAATATTGTATAAAATAATTAATAAAATAATTTTTATTCTATTATCCTAAGTTAAGTTTTGTAAATAAATGACAAATAATTTCGTGCACCAATTGTAGAAATGACACAGAACATTATTGTCTTCTTGTCTAGAATATCAAAAACGTAGGTAAATCGTATTGTCGGTATTGTCAGGAGAGGGGTGCCTTTTTCGTGATCCCCACCTCGCGAACAGGTGTACGCGGTTCTTGAAGCATAACAGCGGAGAATACACTCACTCGTCCGGCACAGTCGGAACCGACAGGTCAGCGGATCGCATCCTGCCCGAATGCCATCGTGAGTTGTTGCGCTTTTCACGTTCGTGCGATCGCGACTGGGCTGGTTGCTACCATTAAACAAATTCAGTGTGCGACGCAGAGGCGAATCAACAGCGCACACAGCTCCAGCAGACCAACCTACAACAATTGTTAATTTGATGCGCCGGAAAAACTTTGCCGCTTTTTTGGTGTCGCGGCGTCGCGACGCACTAACTCGGATCCGACGCATCGAACTCACCAGCGCCTAGGTTACTCGCCTGATCTCCCGTTGAACATCCAGTGCTTATTCCAACCGCCGCTTGACACCCAACAACTGCATAATAATATTTTCTAAAAATAGTTTGATGTGAAATAATTAAAGTGACTTTGTGGCGGACCATGGCATTATTTTGACCCATGAAAAAACGGAAGTGGTGCTGAAAACTGTGGAAATTAATTTGGATAATAGAAACAAGTGTGTCAGTGCATTTTCCATCGTTAATAAAGGTTTGAGTGGCAAACCTTTAATTACTTCTGTGTTTATAAAGCATAGTTTCAGGTGAGCTAAAAATTAAATTTATTTTAATATTTTTAAGTAAATTATTTAAAACACGAGAAAATTTTATTCAAAATAATAATAATATGTGTGCGGTGTGTGGAAAATCGGTTCGAATGATTTCGAATCGATTGCAAGAGAAGGCATACAAGCAAAAAGCAAGTATGTGAGTATGTACCACAACGTGTTACCGTATTCCGTGGTCGCGAATGCGATCGGCTCGGATAGACGAGAGCAAAAGAAAATTTATAACGTGTTGGCGTGTTGCAGCAGAGCGGTGCATTAGGTTAACGTTACAACGTTCGTTTCTATGCCTACAACTCGGACATGTGTACCCAGAAACACAAACTTACGCATATATCTTACAGATATACGCGCGCGAAACTCTGCAAGCAAAGAATCAGAATCAGAATGCCAATATGTCGTTACACGTAATTGTGTCAGTGTGTATTTTGATCTACATACGACGTAAATTGTGTAAAAAATAAATTTAAACGTGATTTTTGTTGTGCAACACAATTTTCCCGCATTGCGTAATTTGAATGTGATGAATTAATTACTGATAAAAATAAATATTACCTAGACTGATAAGTACAAGTCTATTGAACTGCGCATACAATATTTAATTATGCTCCGCATACCATTGGCTTTTATTTCTTTTAATGTAGAAAATAATGAATAAGATCGATTGGCTAGATTTAATAAATTACATTCTTGCGTACTTAGATACTTACATGGAGTGTTGGCGCAGTGTGCGCAAGTGTCTTCATCACTCACCAATTTTTATTGTGTCTCGCTTTGGTTAACGAAGCGATGTGTGCATTTTTACAATTCGGTGTGTCGTTGTGTTGCGCAAGCTATTTTATGTGCGATTGCGCACGCATCGCCATATCGGCGCAATTTTTGATTCATTTCCAACGTCAGTTGATCTAAATACGATTTCTGCACAAGCCAATTGATGAAAATTTACAGTTTGAAATGCAAGGAATGTGAATTTAATATTTAGCTACGACAAATTCTAAGATGCTTACCACGGCTGTGGAAAATAAATATTTACCGAATGATGTTAATGTGTTGCATTACTGAAAAGTGTAAATTAATGTTTGTAACGCCATTAAATGAAATTGATTGTGTGATTGGTGCGATTGGACCTTTAAAATGTGTTGATATTTTTATTCATGGTGTAACATGTTTATAGGAATGTATTTATTAATTTTGATTGCATTCGTGAGTGCGCCAGATGGCGCATCGAGCTCTCTTGAACATCAATAGATGTAAGAATCAAACTCTCAGCAGCGTCGATAAACTTTTCACTTGTTAATTTATTATTTAATTCAATCGGGTTTATTAAAAGTGAGCTTTGAGCAATCTTCGAAATGTTCTTCGCCGTTATTTAGCGGCCTGCTTCTTTATGCGCGCACATTTACTTTTATTATCCCATAAACACCTAATATTCGATGTGCGCTCACGTTCTGAAGAGTCCGCAGCGTCCAGTGCATCTATTACAATCATCCTCTGCAGCTTGCCAATGCGTTTATTTATTTATATTCACTCAATTTTTGAATCGAAATGCTGAGCTTGATGGCATCGTGACTGTCGTGCGTGTTGAATTAACTCCCAAACTCGATCGTTTAAATGTTTTATAAATGTTAAACGTAATTTGATATTTCGATTTTTAACTAGAACTTTAATAAATTTACCTCAAACACAGATATCAATATGATGCTTATAAATACACCTTGGGTAGGGCTTGTTAGTTTTACCTCGATGATTTACTGAGGTTTATTTCGTTGTAAATTCGCCATGAAAATTGTTTGTATAATACCTTCGAATGTTTGAGATCGCGTCGCGTAAAATTTCAATTTTACGACCCCGTGCAATGTTTGCCAACGCGTGTTTATAGAACTACGAAATGACATAAACCGACACGAGGTTGCGCAAGCGGTGCTTACATTTTAAATATGAACTCGCAGAATTTAAATTCGAGTGTGGATAAATTATAAATTTATACGAATATAGAAGGGTAATATGGGGTAATGTGGGGTAAACAAAATAATATGAAAAAATTTCCTTAATATGTGAAAGTTTATGGTTTTAGCCGTAATTAAGAGAAGCAAAATTTCAAAAGTAATAATTTTATATAAATTTTAATGCCTATTTCTTATTAGATTCGCTAAAAATTCAAATATTGAAAACGATGAGAGTGAAATAAACCTAAAAAATAAACAAAAGAAATAAATAAATGAAATGATCTATGAGTAAAACGTTGTCACTGCAAACGCAAGTTTACCGCATATAGTCTGAACTTGATAATGTCACCAATTAACCGATAAACAGTCTCATGTTTAATGCATGAAAACTTCGGTACTGTTTTTTTTGTATTTTACTTTTACTGTTTCCGAAATAAGCGTCGTAAAATACAATGTGGCCATCAGTAAAGCCTCAATCGCAGGCAACACTCATCGAATCAAACAAATGTGTATGCGCCGCAGATTTGGTAATAAACGTAGTCATTTTAATCGCGCGCCAAGGCCGACGCGGCCTTCGTTTTTCGGCACTCGTTACCATTACCAGCGGAGTCATTGTCGACGATTCCATCACCACAGTCATTGTGGGGAATCGAATTCGTTATCTCTTTCGGCTCGTCCGTCCTTTTGTTAAACGCGCTGCTATTGCCCCACACTCCTCATGCCATTGCCACTTACTTGCGTGGCAATGCATGTGTGCGCGTTTATATTTTGGCAGAACTACGTTTTAATTTCACTTCCTCAGCATGAACATCCGGACAAGCATTATTTATTATTACAGCCATCATTTGATTCCATCGTTCACGTCCAAGTACACCAATAAGTGTGTGTGTGTTGTGATATTGCTACCACCCAACAAACAAATGTACGATAATTGCTTATTATTTCTTATAATTTTCTAATTACTTCATTATATCGACTTAAATGTTGCAACATCTTCAAACTGCGATGATAATAGTCTGATTCAAATAAAATTAGATCTTTCGTACCTCTGTAGTGTTCTCTGATGTTTTATTGTTCATGCGTTGAGAATATCTCGAATCAGTTTAGTCTTGGAATATACGTTTCACAATTATTGGTTTATAGATTAAATACTCGACATTCCATAAATTCCAATTGCAACGCAAATAATATCTAAGTGGAGAAAAATATCAAAAATTGTTTTTTAAACAAAATATTTCGTAATGAAGTCTTTTTATTACCATGCCGATAGAATTTACTTTGTACTGAACGTCTGCATATCTTCACCGGAATTTATAATAGAGATAAATATAATTGGTATCGTTCCCCACGTGAATGCGTGCAGGTTTATCAACTAATTATTTAATTATCAATAATATTGTATATGGCTGATAATTCGCTCTTTATACATGCGTTACAGTGCGCTTTATAATACCAGGTGTGCGTTTCTGCATCCACACCTAGCACGCATCGCGATGAAGAGGACGAACAAGAACGGTCAATTGCTGCGCATTTTAACGGTAGCGGTATGCAGTAATGGTCGTCGTTTTTTCGCGCTATCAATCTGAAATATGTATTAATTGGCAATGTAACACGGCTATAATATGATGTTGAATTATTTTGCTATTCCTTGCGTTATCTAAGCATGCATCGACCGCATAGCAAATAGCAAAAAGTAAAATATAGCCTAAAGTGAAGTTTTGAATTAGTTTTGCCACCTGTGGTTCCAGAGAATTTGTGGATAACAGGAGAATTAAAATTGTGTAGTATACTATCATGGAATCAAGGGAAGTGCATGCTTTTTGCATTATTCTAAGGTTACCAAATCTTTAATTCGTTTTTCTCCTGTTATCCTACTAAAAGACCAAAACTAAAAAGTGTAATAGATTATCTGCAGTCACGACAATGAATAATACGTTTAAACATTTTTATCACTTACGTTCCTGGGTACAAAAAGTAATAAAATCTAAGTTAATTTAATTTTCATGTTCTACGCACATGTCGATACTTTTTTTCCGTTTTTCTTCATCAATATTGCCGTCGATTGTACATTATTTAGCCGTCGATCGGTACGCGTCTCCTCTGGTGACTTAAGTAATGTAAGCGACAAGTTGGACAAATAAATTTGTAGAGAAGCACGCGATAAATCTGTTTTATGGGTCTATTAATGCAAGCGTCCATTGCCGACGTTTGTGACGAGCGCCGACGTCGGCAGACGGGCCCTGTCGATCGCTTGAGAAACAAGTTGATGGACACGAGACACAATCGACTCTGACCACGGCTACCAGAAGTGCTACCGAGGAAGCTACTCTACCGAATGTTGTCATTTATATCGCCTACATTAACGCCTCCCTTTTTCAAGGGCCGATTTCGGGTCGGCAGCCGGGAACACCCCAACGATGAGTTAATTATTCGAGTCACATAATGCGCGGCCGATAGCGCGTAAGTGAAGTAAGTGTACTTAATGTCTTACGTGTCGAAATCTGGTACGTATCAAAGAGGAGTCGGGGCCGCCGATATAAATTAATTAAAAACACCGATGCCGCGCCGAACATTTTGCCATTACTTTCTTCTCCGGGCAGCATACACACAGCGTAATCTAAATGGGTTTCCAAGTGAATTAAGGACTAATTTTTCCGAATCACGCAACTGTTGCTATTCCGTCCGACCTGTCGACTGCGCGGCGCGACCGCCTAATAAATATCACTTTCAGCAATAAATAAAAATATTTAAAAGACGTGCTGCATGAAATGATTTTAATTAATATTTAGGTATATATAATGCCACGATACAATAATTTCAAATGTAAACATACCTATATGAAATATTCTTGAAGGTAGTACTCATTGCATAATCAATATTATTGCACACATATTGCGATTATTTATTAACATAATCTACTTGTACGCAGTCATTACTTCGCACGTTCGTGTTACATCGGGCAGGCGCGTTTGAACCGAAACAATTTTAATTAAAACCAATAATTAGCATTCCGAATTCCAAGAACAAATTATA